ATACTATTTTTGAGAGACTCATCAAGACTCTATGCGATGTACATGCTCTAATCGAGTAATATAAAAAAATGAGAATTCTTAAGGATACAAACAAATATCTAATGAGCACAGCACACCAAATTTTCTAAGAATTAAAATGACTTTAAAATCATGATAACATAACGTATAAGTGTTTTGTCACTAGATTCAGTGACAACGAAACAAAATATAAATCGTTGTTATCGTCAACAACAACAAAACAAACGAAACCATCCAATCAAATATGACATGAAACAACCTCTTGCATCAAAATTACATTTCATTTGAAATATTTGTACACAAAATGATCACAATCATATATGGATGGTTGGGGTTGGGCTAATAATGAGTATGTAATGTTTCTGAAATCCCTGAGCAGCCACCAAACCACTTAGAAAAAGGATCTAAGTTCACACCTTTGTTTTACTCTATGCAACTAATCCGTGGTACTTACTACATTGTAATTTAATTTTCTTAAAAATGATTTCCATATTCATTTTTTTATTATTACCAAAAAGTCAATCATGTTGTGTTAACATAAGTACATGTACATATTGGACGCTTTCTTTGTATGCTTCTGACATGTATGTATACATTTAACTTTAATAATTGCACTTCTCTCTCCCAAGAATACTCATAATTTCAACATGAACAAAATTATCATAAGTTCTTGGACTTTCATGACACTAAAAGGTGATTTAAATTCATTTAAGCTTCATACTTGGTTTCACTTGTAATCAATGGCTAAATTTGCTATGTCGAGTAAAAACCTAAATTCACAAGGTAGTAATGGCTACATGAAACTAAGGAAACAATTAGGGATGTTTTTTTTTTTAAAACTTCAATTAGGGATGTTTAATTTGAATAAACCGATTTGATTCAATATGAACTGAGCCAAGCTGAAATAATTTTGAAAACAGAACAATTACTTAATAAATGTTAAATAAATTCATCTTTTTCTTGTTAAAAATCCCTATGTAAATATGAGTCGAATCCAATAAAAAAACTGATCTCAAAATTGAAATTTGTTTAAAAATTTAAGTACACTATTGTCTAAGTGACTTGTTAAGTTTAGCAAACAAAATCCAAATTTGCTTTAAAATTAGTGACATATTTAACTTAAATCCGATTCCAAACTAAAACCAAAATTTTGCCAAACCATTTATAATAGTTTAAATTTTACTTTTGTGAGTATTATTTATAAATCGAAGAATCGGAAAGATAAATTTTGTTGATTGCTTGTGTTGTAATCCAAAATTAAGTTTAATGGAATATGAGTTTGTACCCCAAAAAACTCATTTGAAGTTAGTCTTTTTGGTTTGGCCCCATTCCTTCCTTCCTTCGGATGAAGCTAAGCATTGATTTCAATTTTCTGTTAACATACCTAATTATGGTTTCATAATGATGGGCCTCAATCGTACTTAGCTTCTAAATTAGATCCCATTTCTGCTAACAAACATTAGATACCTTTAAAAGGGAAAATAAATCAGTTCGTAGGGCGAGTGTTGGAAGCACACTAAATTGAAGCCGTTGATGACACGTGTGGAAACCGAGTAAGGAAGTCATCAGGACCGTACGTTAAAATCACGTGATGGCACGTGAGGAGCGAGCATGTACAAACAAAACTGTGATTTGGACCGACTTAGGAAGCAACGAGAGAAACATACATCATTCGGTGTACCATAAAAACAGCACATATCATTGAGTTGTTTTGTTACTCCCAAAAAACATATGGTCTTAAAACAAAGACTATATTGTCTCTTATGATGTTATATTATTGATTTCAATCTTAACTTATAATCATCTTAAGCTTATCAAAAGATTCGACTTAGGGTAGACATTTAGTTAATTATCAAATTTTTATATAAAAAACCCCACTGGATTATGATTTCGACAAAGCGATAATGCGAAGAAACAAACGATATTCATGTGCAAATGTTGTAATACATCTTCCATTATTTATTATCATATTATATATGAAGTATTTAAAACTTTTTGCAGAGTAATTAATACCTATTATTTTCTTACTAGCCAGAGAAAAAATTATGCGCTCACTTTTATCTCGATTCGAATTATCCTCGTCGGTTTTTTTTCTTTCTTAAATCATATTTAAGCCATGTTCCCACTTATAGGGTTTAGCCTACATATATTACAAATATCCTACCATTAATATTTGGAATTGATTTTTTTTTTTAAACTCAATTATTGCTTGGGAAGGCAGAGAATTGAACTATGTTCATGGGGAGGTCTACGTCTTCAATCATTGACCTCCACAAAAGCATTGGTCGTGAACACGACTAATACCAATTAAGTACGAACCAAATTTGATATTAACTAATGAACCAGAC